TACCATTATCATCACAATGATCAGTCACATAAGTTAATCACAAACACCACCATCATCATAATCATCAGTCACAGAACAATTAGTGTAATTTCACTAAATGTCCAACTGCATCTAGAAACTGCATCACTGTTTTTCGTCCAGTTGCCAGGTGTAGCTTTAGTCTCTCAATTAGGTGCATCTCTGTCCCTGTCAATCTGCTGGGCACGACGTTTCACAGCACCAAGACCTGTCGGTCATCTGTACCGTCAATGTTTTATCTGCTGTCTCAATCTTCTTGATTTCCTTGACGAACTGGTAAATGTTGGGATGTGACCGGGGCATTCTCTTCTTCAGTCCATTGTGAAATGAGGTGTAGGCGATATGAGGGCAAGCCTATTTATTTCAAATATATTATGATTACTACTGTAGACCCATTCACCAGTGCTGCTTATTCAATCACTTGTGTACAGAACTACTCTTGCTCATGAGAGGTAGCCTAGTGGTTAAAGCGGTCTCTTGTCACACCAAAGACCCGGGTTCAATTCTCCACATGGGTACAATGTGTGAAGCCCATTTCTGGTGTCCTGGCCATGATATTGCTTGAATACTGCTATAACCGGAGTAAAATTACACTCACTCACTCTTGCTCATGAGAATTATTGGTGTTTGATGGCTATCTTTCAGGGAATTATGTCAAATCAGAACTAAAACAAAGCCATTATACTGAATGGGTCCAGGATATTTATGGTTTTGTTTGTATTAAACTACTCAATTATCCAGCTATATGACAGCGATCTGTAAGTATATCTGGACCAGACAATCCAGTAATTGATATCATCAGCTATCCACACAATAGGGATACGTTGACGTGCATTAACACGGTAGACAGCTCTTGCAAGCATGTATTGCTGAAGACCAATTCTAACCAGGATCTTTACAGGTGGTATTATGATAACAGAGGATTGGGGAATGTGTGTTGTTTTTTCTACAGATTGTAATGTGGCACAAGCAGCCAAGAGCTAGTCTCGGCTGATTCTAATGCAAGTTGAACATTTGTTTTGAGCAAAGCCTGGAGTTAAGAAGTCAAACAATACCCTTGTAAAATACTCTATGAAGAAAGTGAGTGAGTTTAGAGTTACGCCGCACTCAGCAATATTCCAGCTATATGGCGGTGATTTGTAAATAATCAAGTCTGGACCAGACAATCCAGTGATCAACAGCCTGGGCATCGATATACGCAATTGGGATACACCATGTGACGGCCAAGTCAGCGAGCCTGACCACCCAATCTCGTTAGTCGCCTCTTTACGACATTAGCATGGGTTACTAAAGACCAATTCTAACCCGGATCTCCACAGGTTCTATGAAGAAAGAAACCAGATACATATAATGTCTTTCAGCGGCATTTAGAAGTTGTACATTGATGTCCAAGATATTTTTATGGATTAACTTCTTTTTAATTTCTCTCATAACGTTTCGAGACCATTCCAGGTCCCTTCATCAGGTGAACTGGCAGTTAGGACTATGAAAAAGTCCTATCTGCCAGTTCACCTGATGAAGGGACCTGGAATGGTCTCGAAACGTTGTGAGAGGAATTAAAAAGAAGTTAATCCATAAAAATATCTTGGACATCAGATACATATAGATCTATTCTGGCCTCTTTGTTGACTGCTTTGGAGAATGCTAATACAAGGAAGTGGATATTGTTATTTCTGCACTTTAACATTACCAACAAGCTATCGTATTACAACCAGACAGTGAAGAGATCGATAGCATGAACAGCAATCCACATGGTTTGGGCAAACATGGGCTAAGGTGCTAAAACTTGCTGTGTAAAGTTGTCTTTGTTATGTGTGTGATTCGACATTAGTTGAAAAGACCAGATTCATCCAACTTAAATCCTTGATATAATAATAATGTCCATTTTTAAAGCGCCTGTTTCCACACACTTGTAAATGCTAAGCGCTGCTGCAGTATTAACCCAGATAACCCAAGCTTGCCTTTGAGGCACTAGAAGGTCATATGACCTATCCCACCAGGTACACATTCACTACTGGGTGTACAGAGGCAATTCATTAACAAACTCACTTGCCTAATGTGAGACCACATGTGTCACATGTGCTTATTATGTTAAAGCTCTAGCTTCAAGTTTCCAGGACACCCACCTCAAGTCACACTGACATAATATGTCAATACTGTTCAAAACTGCCTAAATCCAGATACTCTTTCTAATAAATATCAGCTTTATTTCAGTTTCACTATTAAAGAGTAACAGACCTACTTGGTGCAAGATCCCCCATTGTGGAACAGGCAACATAAATGCCAGGCTGATGTAATAGAAAACAACTCAGTTTTATTACTTTATTGCTCAAGATAACAGGTAACAATACATTATGCAAGATCACAGAGATGCAGTATAAGGATGGCTTGTAACACCTGGTAGCTGTGTTTTGTCATCAACATCAAGGAGATGACATCTGAATGAATGAAACAGACAACCAACATACCCCTCAAACAATATACTGTCATGCTTTACTGAGAAATTACAGATTATGCTTAAACATGAAAGCAAAGAAAAAGCAGCTCCTTTGAAGTGTTCTAGACAGTTCTATGAACATGGTCCAGTAATGCAGATACGTATGTTTTAATAACTGCATATCTATTGAGTTGTCTTTCTGTGTAAGTGTTTGTTTGCTTGTTGTTTAACAATCACTCAGTCTAACAGCAGCCTGCAAACAATCAGCTATGGACCTGACAATTGGTAGATTTTGTGACACAGTGGTCCAGTCAGTCAGTACAATGACTATCTGCCTAATGTGATTGAGAAATGTAGTGTATACAAGCCTGTGAATTACAGCTGAGTTAATCATCAAACATAACTGAGTCCACATACACTGCAGTTTCTAGATGCTTGCCAGTCATTGTGACCATCCATTCAACATTTCATTTCCTTCTTACAACAAGCATTAAAGATCAGAGACATGTTCTACATATAAATGGACTTAGTCTCAACCTTAGTGAGTTGTGACACTGATTTTAAGGGTCAAGTTAGGGGGTCAGCTTATCTACGGTAATATACGGTAGTTTAATGCCGCACTTGGCAATATTCCAGCTATATGACGGCGGTCTGTAAATAATCAAGTCTGGACCAGACAATCCAATGATCAACAGCATAAGCATCGATCTATGCAATTAGGATACAATGACTTGTCAACCAAGTCAGTGAGCCTGACCACCCGATCCCGTTAGTGGCCTCTTACGACAAGCATGGGTTACTGAAGATCAATTCTAACCCGGATCACGGTAAAACTGAAACTTACCTGACAACAAAACTCTGACATCTGATTTTGGGAAAGAAATGTTGATAACAAATATAGAAATGTTTCTTTATATGATTATGATTCAGAACTGAGCAAAGTATAACATCAGTAAATCTCCAAGATACAAAACACGTATTTCTGGTCCAAATGTGTTTTAACAATCCTGGACAAGGAAGGGTAAATGCCCTTTAGCCCTCTTTAAATGGAAAAACCAGTTCTCTCAATGTCAGAATGTTGAGATCTGATTGGTTCATGTGATTAACAGACCCAATATGGAGCCCCAAAAAAAAAATTTATATAAAAAAGGTGGAATCTGATTGTCAATTCGATGTACAAAGAAGGGACATAACTCATAGAAGCCACTGGTGACACTATGATCACAATTGTGGAAACTACAGTCTATTAACATCCATGCTTCCGTCACACAGCACTAAACCTATGGCACAACAAACAAGAATCATCATCCTGTGTCCAGTATCTGGAGCTATGACTAGAGTTTCTGTTCTTCAACTTAAACTTTAAAAAAAAAGCAAGAATGGCTAAAATTCTCTAATTAGTGATGAATCACTACTAAATATGTACATGTATACAGATTTTGGCCACTTGACTAAAGCCTGGGTTCAAAACCCATAAGGGAATCAAATAAAGAAGATATGCTGGAATTTGTACTTTACTAAGAAAGTGTAACCCCCAAATACACCATTTGTTACATATATTTAAGAAATACCATGTATAGTGTAATATAGCACACTTTCGCCCTGAACTATTATAGTTAAAGTAAGAGGACGCTTGTGTCAGAGTACTTCAACTATAATAGTTCAGGGTGAACTGTATTACTTTTCTAAGATGCCAAATTTAATATTTTCTAAGGATAATTACTATTAATTTAAGGCAGAAAACAAATGACGGTGTCGGTGACCTAAATTAAGAATCCTTGCAAAGGGTTAACTGGCGTGCTGTTCTATTGATGTGTCTGCCCCCCCTACGTTAAGACAAACGTTACCAGAAAAAAACAAATGAAAACAGTTTGATGACGGTTTACGTTGGATTAAATATCTTCTCTGAATTATTTTAATTACATCTGTCATTAACGTAAACCATATGGGGCAATATGAACGTTGCACTTCTACTATCAACATAAGTTTAGATCAGTACATCCAGATGAAGCTGAGTAGTCAAGCGACATTCCACGATTGCATTGTGGGAATGTAAACATTTTGAACGTTACCGTGTCGCTGAAAACTTGTGAGTCGAATTGAGACATTTTAACCGTCGTAAAACATAAACGTAATGTGTCCACCAGTGATGTTAGCTGCGTGAAGCAACTGCAAACCAAGAAACGTGATGCAACGGAGTAGTTTACTGTAGGAGGCCGTACGAGGCGATGACAACTGACATGCATCGTGACGTCGCTTACCTTGTGACGTAATGTAAAATTGTTCGATCACGAGGGGGCACACTGGAATGGCGCAGTGACAGGATAACATCATTTAATTGTTACATCATAAAAAAAGTATACCTTCATTGTCTGACAATGTATTTTTTTTGATTGTTCTAACTGCTAGGCATCTTAGAAATAACAATACATCTAGTATACAGTACTCCTTATGCACTGGGAAATATAAGACATAATGCACCGGACATTAGGCAAGAATCAGGCACCACAATAGTTGCCATTTTCAGACATTTTCCAAAATTGAGATTAATGGACCTGTTTAATAATAGCTGTTTTGCAGAAATATTAAAAGCTTCAAATAATGACATCTCACCAACTGATGAAATATTAATGAATTGCATCTACCTGAGGCTTTAAAGAAAGTTACTTTATGTTATAATGTCAACCATTTACATGCAAGACTAGTAATAAAAGAATTTCCTCTTGACCCCGCTCCACAAAGCAAATGAAGCCTTGTCACTGTTCTATGCCTGAGGATGTTCGGGCTAGGATCGCTTTTTGGATTGGGGCCCTGATCTGCAAAGCTTGTACTCCTCTTCTGCAAGAAGAATGTTATCTAACTCCAAATGATACCTTAGTGTAGAACAGTGTCACTCATCACTTGATACCCAGTTTCTTCCTGATGAATCTGGCTACAACCAGTTGGGGCCGGTTGTGCCATTCCTCCATAATACTGTGGGGTGTGGTTATTTGGTCTCCATGAAGGCGGTCCAAAAGGGTCACACATATCACAGCACCTGGAATGTCACATCAAATAGATGAGTGAGTGATCTGTCAGTCAGGTTTTAAGCAGTATACCAGTTGTATCACAACTTACTGTTAATAGTGTTTGGGTCGTTGCCTACCAAAAAATTCTAATAAAAAAATCACCAATAAACTCATATGTACGAGATGTATTATCAAGAAATATTCAACAATTTTGGAGTTCTGCTGTGGGATATGGAAATAAATGGACATGCTCACGGATCACTATTTCCCTGTGTTTCAACCAGTGTGCGAATTAGCCACTGGCCCGCTAGCCCATGGCTAGTAAAAATCCATTCAGGCCAGTAAATCTCCATAGTTACTAGCCCGACTGGCTAGTGAATGTTCATGGCGACATTTTGTAAATATATCACTCTCTGTGACTTTTTAAGCTATAACACACTCTTAAATCATGCAAGATTACGGCCTGATAAAAATGTTCATCATATCAGAAGCTTTATGATGAAATCTGTGTCTACATTCATATTTGGGACAAGTGAATTATTCAACAAGATAACACAGACAGCTCACCCCTGATGTTTGCTCTGTGGCAGTAGGCAGCAAAGCAAAGTGACTCCATCTCTATATTGCGGATACCCTTGTCATGGATACGGCGAAGGAACGCCATCTTGTCTGCCTCAGTGTAGTCACAGAAAGCTCCATCAAGACGAGCTTGACCTGAGAAAGAAGGCGCTAGAGTTACTCAACACATGAAAACTTACATTGTGGATATCCCAGCATACTGAAACAATGACATCTGTATACAATTGTAGTGTTTGGAACTAGGGTGAGCGAGTTTGTTTTAGCCACTTTTAGCAATATTCCAGCAATATCAAGACAGGGGACACAAAAAATGAGCTTCACATGTACCCATGTAGGGAATCAAACCCAGGTCTTTGGCTCGACAAGCAGACTCTGTAACCATTAGACTACCCCACCGCCCCTTGGGGCTATGGAGAGTCAAGGGGTGATAAAGGTTATTGAACACAGTTATAGTTCATGGTTAACTCATGTTAATTCACAGGTTTGATATGCTACATTCCTCAATCACCTCCATCACATTAGGCAGACAGTCATTGTACCCCGACAGACTCGACCACTGCCACAAAATCAACTGATTGTCAGGTCAATAGTTGACTGTATGCAGGCTGCTGTTATTTTAAGTGATGGTCAAACAACGGTTGGAATAAGGTGGTGAAACATCACCTTTGACTCTGTATCACTCATGATGCCAATCACTGGATTGTCTGGTCCAGATCCAATTCTGTACGTACAGCCACTGTACAGCTGAAACATATTGCTGACTAACAACAAACAAACGAATAACCTGAGCACACATCATCAGCCAGTCTTACCTTCGTAGAAGTCATGGGTACACATGGTTTTTCCAATGATGGTCTGGAAATGGTCGTCCGGCGAGGCCATGGCCTGGAGCTCTTGACACAGTTCCTTGTCCAGGAATGAAGGAAGCTGAACCATCATGCCCATGATTGCCTGCAAGGTCAAGGTCAGATTTTGTCGGTGTTGATGCCTTTCCGTACTTGTCATCTACGACTTGGTCAAACACCATTGTGTTGAAATCGAAGGGACTATGTATATACTTTGACTTGTCTGGTGTTAGACTTAATAAGACGCAACTTCAAAGGATGACTAAACAAGCACAGAGAAAATGTATAACATTCAGAAAATCTCTAAATAATAAATTTACCAAAATCTGTTACAGTATAGGTAATATTTTGGTCCGGAAATTGAATAGTTGTTTATGTGTTTATTGTTTAGTGTGGCAAAAATTCAACCTACAAAATGGCAGACATAAACATGCATTAAAACTGTCTGTAATCTTTGACATGTTGGACAGAGTTATTTCCCCTTCTCAGAAGGCATAAATCACATGACCATGGGTAATCAGTAGGGTACTGGGTATTGTGACACACAGCAGTAAGTATGTTCTAACTTTAACTTGTTTTGAATATTACCATATTTCCTTTGACAAGCGGCGGGTCTCTAATAATCGTGAGGCCTCTAATTAGCGCCGAGGTCTGACCATAAAGCAGCTCACTAACAATTACGGTAATTAAATCCAGTAAGCGCAAAGGTGCCAGCCCTCTAATAAGCGCCGGGTCTGGAACTCTGTTGAGAAAATAAGCGGCCTGGCGTTTATTAGAGGAAATACGGTACATCAGAGCCTTACACTTGAGATACTCACCACCTCCATGTATGGCCTGAGGATACCATCAACCGCCTCGCTGGTGATCACGACAGATCCAGGATCCAGCCCTGTCAACAATACACAACCAGCACTGGTATAAGCACATTGATGTTTTTAGTTAATTAACAATTTTCCGCTATACCACATCCAACTGTAAAATACCAAGGCACACAAAACAGTGACTTGAAAACACAGGTCCTGACCACATGATACTGAATAAATCTGCTCTTACAACTAGCCTGAGGAAATGGGGTCCTAGAAACATACTAGGAATCTGATGAGTGAAGATTCAGTCAGAAGTGTTCCCCTGCGACCAGTATGATCAGAGCTCCACTTGAGATTTACCTCATGTGGGTACTGTACCCACTGTATTTGTTTGGAGTGGGTATTATGAATGTTGAGTGGGTATTTCATTTTCCGTTACCCACTGCTTTCAAATATGTGCGTATTTCAGTCCTTTTACTCACCTAAGTATTATGTCATTCAGTAAGTTTACTAAGCAGGTATGTTCTGCCTTATGTCAAACCTTATCAAAACCAAATTAAATATAATGGAAATGATTTCATAAAAAATCACTCATCCTATACTGACAGTACAACACTTGTCCTATACTAACAGTACAACTTGATAGCAATCTATGTCTGTTTCATTACGCAAGCGATTTTTATAAATATATTCCCTACGCATTTGTTTTAAACTTTTTGCGTATCTAACATTTTAAATGTGTAATTGGTACGCAACAATTATGTTTCAATGCATAATTGAAAATTTTCTACACATATTTTACCCGGATACGCAGCTTATCTGGGCCTCTGATATGATGTCGTAAGATGCGCATAACAGCATCTGGTATTCAGGCTCACTGGTTAATGTCTTAAATCCCAATTGCTTAGATCAGTGATTATAATGTAAATTGCTAGATTGTGTGGTCAAGAGTCAACAATTTACACTGCTCTCACATAGCAGGAATATTTCTCAGAGCTGCCTAAAACAACAAGCAAGACTAAGAATCCTCACAAGTGCATCTTTATAGTCATTTCATGAGTATGTACAATTACATAGCGATCACAAAGACACTAAGATCGTAATTGTCTGATTGGCACTAAGTTGGAAAGTCAATAACAAACATTACAACGTAATGGATAATAACTTCTTGTTTATTGCATGGGGCAATGTTACACCATTATTATTAGCTAGAAGTTGTTACACCTATTGCTGTAATCTTTGTTACTAAGACAGTAATGGGTACTATGGCCGTCTGTGCATTATACAGATACCTGGGTAGACCCTACTATTGTGTAAGAGGAAATACTAAGGTTATGACACTGACCGAGCCCCCCACTGGTGCCGATCCGGAACAGCGTAACCCCCGAACACTCTGCGTGTTGCAGCAGCTTCAGTATTTCATGCAGGATGATGGACAGGGATGGGATGCCCATACCATGCTGCCATGCAAACAAAGGGCAAACATTTCATAAATAACTCTATGAAAGACGTTATTGTTGCTGAGGCAGATATAAACATACATTTTGAATTAGTTTAAATTTAGCAAAACATTGTTCTTACAAATGCTGGTTTTTTTTATTAACATATTTTCAACATATTTTGTTTGCATTATCATTCAGTCCTTCAAATGAATCCAGTTAAGGTATGGTTGAAGTACTGTTGATGTGACTAAAAATCTTAACTCACTCACTCAAATGAACCCATTTAATATATTATCTTTGGTCATCCTGACCTCTACAATATGTCTCGTGTTTGACATAGCTGACTTTACAGCCTCACAGCCTATAATATGCTCAAACTAACAGACAACACTATCCCTGACTTGTATGTGTATATAAAATATCTGTTAAAGCCTAGAGCATACTCACAGTAACAGGTTACAGACTGGCATATACTCACACAAACAGGTACAGACTGGCATATACTCACACTAACAGGTACAGACTGGCATATACTCACACTAACAGGTACAGACTGGCATATACTCACACTAACAGGTACAGACTGGCATATACTCTCACTAACAGGTACAGACTGGCATATACTCACACTAACAGGTACAGACTGGCAAATACTCACACTAACAGGTACAGACTGGCATATGTACTCACACTAACAGGTACAGACTGGCATATACTCACACTAACAGGTACAGACTGGCATATACTCACACTAACAGGTACAGACTGGCATATACTCACACTAACAGGTACAGACTGGCATATACTCACACTAACAGGTACAGACTGGCATATACTCACACTAACAGGTACAGACTGGCATATACTCTCACTAACAGGTACAGACTGGCATATACTCACACTAACAGGTACAGACTGGCATATACTCACACTAACAGGTACAGACTGGCATATACTCACACTAACAGGGTATACTCCTCACTAACTGGCACTGGCATATACTCACACTAACAGGTACAGACTGGCATATACTCACACTAACAGGTACACACTGGCATATACTACTCACACTAACAGGTACAGACACTGGCATATACCTCACACTAACAGGTACAGACTGGCATATACTCACACTAACAGGTACAGACTGGCATATACTCACACTATACAGGTACAGACTGGCATATACTCACACTAACAGGTACAGACTGGCATATACTCACACTAACAGGTACAGACTGGCATATACTCACACTAACAGGTACACACTGGCATATACTCACACTAACAGGTACAGACTGGCATATACTGACACAATGGACAACACTGGCCCTGTCTTGTATACAACACCACCGGGGGTGTGTCACGCTTACAAACGGTGTTAGAGTTATTGCTATAGACGAATGTAAAATTGGTTCGACATTTAGGGGCACACTGGAATGGCGCAGTGACAGGATAACATCATTTAATTGTTACATCATAAAAAGTATACCTTCATTGTCTGACAATGTATTTTTTTTTGGATTGTTCTAACTGCTAGGCATCTTAGAAATAACAGTACATCTAGTATACAGTACTCCTTATGCACTGGGAAATATAAGACATAATGCACCGGACATTAGGCAAGAATCAGGCACCACAATAGTTGCCATTTTCAGACATTTTCCAAAATTGAGATTAATGGACCTGTTTAATAATAGCTGTTTTGCAGAAATATTAAAAGCTTCAAATAATGACATCTCACCAACTGATGAAATATTAATGAATTGCATCTACCTGAGGCTTTAAAGAAAGTTACTTTATGTTATAATGTCAACCATTTACATGCAAGACTAGTAATAAAAGAATTTCCTCTTGACCCCGCTCCACAAAGCAAATGAAGCCTTGTCACTGTTCTATGCCTGAGGATGTTCGGGCTAGGATCGCTTTTTGGATTGGGGCCCTGATCTGCAAAGCTTGTACTCCTCTTCTGCAAGAAGAATGTTATCTAACTCCAAATGATACCTTAGTGTAGAACAGTGTCACTCATCACTTGATACCCAGTTTCTTCCTGATGAATCTGGCTACAACCAGTTAAATGGTTGTGCCATTCCTCCATAATACTGTGGGGTGTGGTTATTTGGTCTCCATGAAGGCGGTCCAAAAGGGTCACACATATCACAGCACCTGGAATGTCACATCAAATAGATGAGTGAGTGATCTGTCAGTCAGGTTTTAAGCAGTATACCAGTTGTATCACAACTTACTGTTAATAGTGTTTGGGTCGCTGCCTACCAAAATACCAAAAAAAATTCTAATAAAAAATCACCAATAAACTCATATGTACGAGATGTATTATCAAGAAATATTCAACAATTTTGGAGTTCTGCTGTGGGAAATGGAAATGAATGGACATGCTCACGGATCACTATTTCCCCTGTGTTTCAACCAGTGTGCTTAATTAGCCACTGGCCCGCTAGCCCATGGCTAGTAAAAATCCATTCAGGCCAGTAAATCTCCATAGTTACTAGCCCGACTGGCTAGTGAATGTTCATGGCATGACATTTTGTAAATATATCACTCTCTGTGACTTTTAAGCTATAACACACTCTTAAATCATGCAAGATTACGGCCTGATAAAAATGTTCATCATATCAGAAGCTTTATGATGAAATCTGTGTCTACATTCATATTTGGGACAAGTGAATTATTCAACAAGATAACACAGACAGCTCACCCCTGATGTTTGCTCTGTGGCAGCAGGCAGCAAAGCAAAGTGACTCCATCTCTATATTGCGGATACCCTTGTCATGGATCACGAAGGAACGCATCTTGTCTGCCTCAGTGTAGTCACAGAAAGCTCCATCAAGACGAGCTTGACCTATGCGAAAGAAGGCGCTAGAGTTACTCAACACATGAAAACTTACATTGTGGATATCCCAGCATACTGAAACAATGACATCTGTATACAATTGTAGTGTTTGGAACTAGGGTGAGCGAAGTTTGTTTTAAGCCACTTTTAGCAATATTCCAGCAATATCAAGACAGGGGACACAAAAAATGAGCTTCACATGTACCCATGTAGGGAATCAAACCCAGGTCTTTGGCTCGACAAGTAGACTCTGTAACCACTAGACTACCCCACCGCCCTTTGGGACTATGGAGAGTCAAGGGGTGATAAAGGTTATTGAACACAGTTATAGTTCATGGTTAACTCATGTTAATTCACAGGTTTGATATGCTATATTCCTCAATCACCTCCATCACATTAGGCAGATAGTCATTGTACCCCGACAGACTGGACCACTGCCACAAAATCAACTGATTGTCAGGTCAATAGTTGACTGTATGCAGGCTGCTGTTATTTTAAGTGATGGTCAAACAACGGTTGGAATAAGGTGGTGAAACATCACCTTTGACTCTGTATCACTCATGCTGCCAATCACTGGATTGTCTGGTCCAGATCCAATTCTGTACGTACAGCCATTGTACAGCTGAAACATATTGCTGACTAACAACAAACAAACGAATAACCTGAGCACACATCATCAGCCAGTCTTACCTTCGTAGAAGTCATGGGTACACATGGTTTTTCCAATGATGGTCTGGAAATGGTCATCCGGCGAGGCCATGGCCTGGAGCTCTTGACACAGTTCCTTGTCCAGGAATGAAGGAAGCTGAACCATCATGCCCATGATTGCCTGCAAGGTCAAGGTCAGATTTTGTCCGTGTTGATGCCTTTCCGTACTTGTCAACCACGACTTGGTCAAACACCATTGTGTTGAAATCAAGGGACTATGTATATACTTTGACTTGTCTGGTGTTAGACTTAATAAGACGCAAGTGCAAAGGATGACTAAACAAGCACAGAGAAAATGTATAACATTCAGAAAATCTCTAAATAATAAATTTACCAAAATCTGTTACAGTATAGGTAATATTTTGGTCCGGAAATTGAATAGTTGTTTATGTGTTTATTGTTTAGTGTGGCAAAAATTCAACCTACAAAATGGCAGACATAAACACGCATTAAAACTGTCTGTAATCTTTGACATGTTGGACAGAGTTTTTTCCCCTTCTCGGAAGGCATAAATCACATGACCATGGGTAATCAGTAGGGTACTGGGTATTGTGACACACAGCAGTAAGTATGTTCTAACTTTAACTTGTTTTGAATATTACCATATTTCCTTTGACAAGCTGGCGGTCTCTAATAATCGTGGAGGCCTCTAATTAGCTTGGCCAGCCGAGGTCTGACCATAAAGCAGCTCACTAACAATTCACGGTAATTAAATCCAGTAAGCATAAAGGTGCCAGCCCTCTAATAAGCCGGTCTGGAACTCTGTTGAGAAAATAAGCGGCCTGGCTTTATTAGAGGAAATACGGTACATCAGAGCCTTACACTTGAGATACTCACCACCTCCATGTATGGCCTGAGGATACCATCAACCGCCTAAGCTGGTGATCACGACAGATCCAGGATCCAGCCCTGTCAACAATACACAACCAGCACTGGTATAAGCACATTGATGTTTTAGTTAATTAACAATTTTCCGCTATATACCACATCCAACTGTAAAATACCAAGGCACACAAAACAGTGACTTGAAAACACAGGTCCTGACCACATGATACTGAATAAATCTGCTCTTTACAACTAGCCTGAGGAAATGGGGTCCTAGAAACATACTAGGAATCTGATGAGTGAAGATTCAGTCAGAAGTGTTCCCCTCGCGACCAATATGATCAGAGCTCCACTTGAGATTTACCTCATGTGGGTACTGTACCCACTGTATTTGTTTGGAGTGGGTATTATGAATGTTGAGTGGGTATTTCATTTTCCCGTTACCCACTGCTTTCAAATATGTAATGTGATTTCAGTCCTTTTACTCACCTAAGTATTATGTCATTCAGTAAGTTTACTAAGCAGGTATGTTCTGCCTTATGTCAAACCTTATCAAAACCAAATTAAATATAATGGAAATGATTTCATAAAAAATCACTCATCCTATACTGACAGTACAACACTTGTCCTATACTAACAGTACAACTTGATAGCAATCTATGTCTGTTTCATTACGCAAGCGATTTTTATAAATATATTCCCTACGCATTTGTTTTAAACTTTTATGCATCTAACATTTTAAATGTGTAATTGGTATGCTTAACAATTATGTTTCAATGCATAATTGAAAATTTTCTATACATATTTTTACCCGGATACGCAGCTTATCTGGGCCTCTGATATGATGTCGTAAGATGCGCATAACAGCATCTGGTATTCAGGCTCACTGGTTAATGTCTTAAATCCCAATTGCTTAGATCAGTGATTATAATGTAAATTGCTAGATTGTGTGGTCAAGAGTCAACAATTTACACTGCTCTCACATAGCAGGAATATTTTTCAGAGCTGCCTGAAAAACAACAAGCAAGGCTAAGAATCCTCACAAGTGCATCTTTATAGTCATTTCATGAGTATGTACAATTACATAGCGATCACAAAGACACTAAGACCGTAATTGTCTGATTGGCACTAAGTTGGAAAGTCAATAACAAACATTACAACGTAATGGATAATAACTTCTTGTTTATTGCATGGGGCGATGTTACACCATTATTATTAGCTAGAAGTTGTTACACCTATTGCTGTAATCTTTGTTACTAAGACAGTAATGGGTACTATGGCCGTCTGTGCATTATACAGATACCTGGGTAGACCCTACTATTGTGTAAGAGGAAATACTAAGGTTATGACACTGACCGAGCCCCCCACTGGTGCCGATCCGGAACAGCGTAACCCCCGAACACTCTGCGTGTTGCAGCAGCTTCAGTATTTCATGCAGGATGATGGACAGGGATGGGATGCCCATACCATGCTGCCATGCAAACAAAGGGCAAACATTTCATAAATAACTCTATGAAAGACGTTATTGTTGCTGAGGCAGATATAAACATACATTTTGAATTAGTTTAAATTTAGCAAAACATTGTTCTTACAAATGCTGCTTTTTTTATTAACATATTTTCAACATATTTTGTTTGCATTATCATTCAGTCCTTCAAATGAATCCAGTTAAGGTATGGTTGAAGTACTGTTGATGTGACTAAAAATCTTAACTCACTCACTCAAATGAACCCATTTAATATATTATCTTTGGTCATCCTGACCTCTACAATATGTCTCGTGTTTGACATAGCTGACTTTACAGCCTCACAGCCTATAATATGCTCAAACTAACAGACAACACTATCCCTGACTTGTATGTGTATATAAAATATCTGTTAAAGCCTAGAGCATACTCACAGTAACAGGTTACAGACTGGCATATACTCACACAAACAGGTACAGACTGGCATATACTCACACTAACAGGTACAGACTGGCATGTACTCACACTAACAGGTACACACTGGCATATACTCACACTAACAGGTACAGACTGGGATATACTCACAATAACAGGTACAGACTGGCAAATACTCACACTAACAGGTACAGACTGGCATATGTACTCACAGTAACAGGTACAGACTGGCATGTACTCACACTAACAGGTACAGACTGGCATATACTCACACTAACAGGTACAGACTGGCATATACTCACACTAACAGGTACACACTGGCATATACTCACACTAACAGGTACACACTGGCATATACTCACACTAACAGGTACACACTGGCATATACTCACACTAACAGGTACAGACTGGCATCTACTCACACTAACAGGTACAGACTGGCATATACTCACACTAACAGGTACACACTGGCATATACTCACACTAACAGGTACACACTGGCATGTACTCACACTAACAGGTACACACTGGCATATACTCACACTAACAGGTACACACTGGCATATACTCACACTAACAGGTACACACTGGCATATACTCACACTAACAGGTACACACTGGCATATACTCACACAATGGACAACACTGGCCCTGTCTTGTATACAACACAGACTGGCATATACTCACACTAACAGGTACACACTGGCATATACTCACACTAACATGTACACACTGGCATGTACTCACACTAACAGGTACACACTGGCATATACTCACACTAACAGGTACAGACTGGCATATACACACACAATGGACAACACTGGCCCTGTCTTGTATACAACACCACAGGGGCGTGTCACGCTTACAAACAGCGTTAGAAAGACATATAGGTATATAGACCCTACCCTAGTACTATATAAAAGGAAAGGGATGTAACGACGGAACCACCCCCTCCTCAATCTAAGTTAGATTTCACCACGTAAACTATTTTTAAGGCCCCGTCGAGGCCTACGGATCAAAAGCGAGATGATTTCCCTACAAAATGAGCTATAAATGGTCACAATCGGATCATTATTTCAAAAGTTATACGCCACGACTCGCCGAAAAAAGCTACCTCCGCAATTCCAAGCCAAAATCATGGATCACCCAAGACAGCGAAAACTCACCTTTCTAAATTCATTTATTAATTCCAGCCACGTTGACAGCACCTATGTAGGGCTAGATTCGATCGGCAGCGCCATTTCACGGGTCTAAAAACTTATCGCAACATCTACAAATCATTTCCTCGACAGTAAGAAGGCATTTTCTCCAAAACCATCGGCAATGATACTCCTTTGTAGGCCATAGATGGCCTTGACATTAAGTGACTTGAGCAGTAAATTTGTAAGAATAATTTTAGAGGTTAAATATTTATAAATATAATTTCCTAAAAATGAATCAATATCGAATGCATTTTTACAACCTCTAAACTTATTCTTAACAATTTACTGTTCCGTACATCACCCAAAATAGAAGGAATATTGCAAAGTTCATATTTTGCGCCAGCAAACAGTCAAAATCTTACAGTATATTATATTTTCCACCAATCGGATGGCCCAATTCAGTTTCTGCGGATCTGCTCAGATCACTTGAATGTCAAGGCCATCTGTGGGCGACAAGTGAGTATGATTGCCGATGGATTTGGAGAAAATGCCTTCTTACTGTCGAGGAAACGATTTGTAGATGTTGCAATAAGTTTTTAGACCCGTGGAATGGCGTTGCCGATCGAATCTAGCCCTACATAGGTGCTGTCAACGTGTCTGGAATTAATAAACGAATTTAAAAGGTGAGTTTTCGCTGTCTTGGGTGATCCATGATTTTGGCTTGGAATTGCGGAGGTAGCTGTTTTCGGTGAGTCGTGGCGTATAACTTTTGAAATAATGATCCGATTGTGACCATTTATAGCTCATTTTGTAGGGAAATCATCTCGCTTTTGATCCGTAGGCCTCGACGGGGCCTTAAAAATAGTTTACGTGGTGAAATCTAACTTAGATTGAGGAGGGGGTGGTTCCGTCGTTACATCCCTTTCCTTTTATATAGTACTAGGGTAGGGTCTATATACCTATATGTCTTTCTAACGCTGTTTGTAAGCGTGACACGCCCCTGTGTACAACACAGACTGGCATATACTCACACTAACGGACAACACCGGCCCCGTCTTGTAAATGACATATCTGTCAGATCCGTTGGCGATGTTGTACAGTGTCATTCCTGCAGGTATTTTGATACGAAGCTGCTCCTTCATAAACTCTGCAAACTTCAGCATTCTGGTTGGGGAGCCTCCAAAACACACAAACTACAACAGAAGCAAGAGATGGAGCATCCTTGATAATCTCCAGGGTATACGTGCCCATAAATCTCCACTATACCCTGGATGCATCTACGTCTCCAGCCGATGATTTTATTACCTCCCTTTGCTGGTTTCGCATTCTCACAGTATCCAGTCAGATAAGCCGCCGTTACAGCTTGCCAGTGTCAACAAAGATAGCAGTCGCAGCCGCGAAAGTTTGTTCGCAGTGTGACTCAGGTTTGGGGGGAAAACATACAGACAAATTGACAGGTCTGAAACCTTAAAAAAAATGTATGCAAGAACTCCTTCTACCTCTTTCAGAGAACCTCTGCCAATATAGTATTGTGTTGCCAACTTTAATCCGTTAGATAACTTAAAAAGCGAAAGTTGTGATTGGTACGCTCAAGTTCCCAGCGTAGACACCTGATTGGATAAAAAGCCAACCAAGGAGGTAATAAAATTATCAAGCCGAGCCGTAGATGCATCCAGGGTATAGTGGATATTTATCAGAACGTATACCCTGGAGATTATTGAGGATGGACTTGACATAACTTTTAAAACAATTTTTTGTATTGGTTCCCAAGATTGTAATATCACAGATATACAAGATATACAAAGCTGTGTTACATAGAGCTTAAGGTAATACACCTACATGATGTACAGGTTTGACATCAATATATTAATATATTCATAATCATGTAAGCTTGACATAACTTGATGTGAGTAAAGTTTTCCCCCTTTAACTGTATGTTCAGTCTGACAACTGAAAAACCTGTGAACTGACCTTGACATCATTGAACATCTCCTTAAGGTCATGCGTCTTGTCGCCGAGGGCGATGTGGTAGAGATAATCTTCCTCCATGGTGGCAATATGAGGATTCTGGATCTTTATGGGCCCATCCCTGACGAAACAAACACATCCAGCTGATGAAGGTAGCGTGAGTGAATTGTTTTACAGCAACATTGGCCTGGCAATATCACAGTGGTGGACACCAGAAATGGGCTTTACACACTGTACACATGTGGGGAATCGAAACTGGGTCTTTGGCGTTACAAGTGAATGCTTTAACCACTAGGCTACCCCACCACCCCAGCCTAGCTGGATAATTCAATACCATAATGGTTAAGTGGTGAAATGCTTTAACTGCCAACTGCCCAATCACACTTGTACAGGTGTGAGATTGTACTGGCAGCCATATTGTCACATCTGTGTCTGCACAAAATGCAACAGTTTTACCTTGGACAATGGGTCAGTGTGTAATGGATTTTTGTATTCTCAGCTCCCTGGGAAGTACATAACCCAAGCTGCCTGCAAGCCACTAGAAGGTTTTAGGGACCCATTACCACTTCATCCTGAAGGGTACCCATTTACTGCTGAGTGAACACAGGAGCATTAGTGCAAAGTCTCTTCATTACAGAGACATCACATATACACATAACGTGCTACATATGCAGCACAGGGCGGTGGAGTAGCTTAGTGGTTAAAGCGTTCGCTCATCACACCGAAGACCCAGGCTCAATTCCAGAAATTGGTACCCAGTGTGCGAAATAGTGTCCACATTTTGCTACCTAGTCAGGCTAGCTATGCCTGAAAGTTACTAGCCCACAAAATAATTCACTAGCCTGAAATTAGAATGTAGAAACTAAGCAAAAGATTACATAAATAGATGAGAATAATTATTGTCAGCATGAGACGGTTTCATCATTAAGCAGCTATGAAGGAAAACCATGTTCTATGCATAGTCAACTTCTTTACTGCAATGAGAGTGGCGTTTCAGCGTAGGTACTAACGCCGTTATCAAGCACTTGCTTCATAATGGTGTTAGTACCTATGCCAAAATGTTGCACTCATTGCAATTAAGGAGTTGACTGTCCACAGAACTTGGTTTTCCTTCATCTTCACAACTTCTAAAATGCCTCTCAAAGAACTTAAGCAGCTAACATGATGAACATTTTTATCATAACCTTATCATGATTTAAAAATGTATTATAACTTAACAAGTCGGAGAGAGTGATATATTTACAAAATGATCCCATAAATATTCAGAAAGATTTCTGTCCGTAACCCCCGTATATTTTTAATCATTATATGCCTAAGAATATACGTCTATGTTTTTTATAAACAGCCTGTACCTTAACCTAAACCCTAAACCTAACCCTAACCCTAAAATCTAACCCTAAACCCTCGAAATAATCCTAATAAATAGAATACATTTCAAGCGAGGGTTACGGGCTGAACTCTTACCAAATATTCAATAGCCAGTTGTGACTGTGGAGATTTACTGGCCCGAGATTTACTGGCTAGCGGGCCAGTGGCTATTTCACACACTGCTTGATGCATGTCATAATCTCCCAATTTTTCTATTATGCATAGATTCATGCTCATGATGTCAATCACTGGATTGTCTGGTCCAGACTTGATTATTTACAGACCGTTATCATACAGCAATAATACCACAATGTTAAACAACAAAACGCACTGTGGATGGTAGTCCTCTTCTCTTGCCGAGTCAAGGTTGATAAAACTACGAGTTGGACTCATGCCAGAGATATCCATCCTTGGTTGTGCCTGTAACACATACCATGAATATAATGAATATAACAGAAGTAATGGGCAATAAATACCAAAAACACCACAGCATATTCATGACTGTTCATCTATACAAGAAGTTTATTGCATGGCTTCAAAATATCTGAGCATGTACCAGTCTCACAACTGTGATCAATTTCCATAATAGTAATTAATTTTTCTATTTTTGATAGAAAGCATCCACTCGTCACGTTGAAGATTCAGGTTCGATTCTCCACATGGGTACAATGTGTGAAGCCTATTGTCTCCTGCGTGATGTTGCTAGAAAATTGCTAAAAGTGGCATAACACCATACTCACTCACTCACTTCAACATAAGTCATGATTCACCAGTATGTAAATATTCCAGCATGATAGTACCTGAAGTATTTACTTATTGTGGTTGCCATGATCCTGTATACAAGGTTGTGGGTTTATAGACACAGTCTGGTGTCACCGACAAGGCATGTATAAATCACTCACATATGTATGATGTTAACTGCATTATCTGTGAGTAATATACACATGATTAACATATCACACCTATGACCAGTTCGGGAGGTCACTGGGGCGGAGGGTAGCCTAGTGGTTGTCACACCAAAGACCCAGGTTCATTTCCCCAAATGAGTACAATATATGAAGCCCATTTCTGGTGTCTCCTGTCGGGATATTGCTGGAATATTGCTAAAAGCTGCGTAAAACTAAACTACTGACTCTCTCACTCACTTGAGTGATCCTTTATTTTATGTAGCATTATTTATTATTTATTTTATGTAGCATTATTTATTATTTATTTTATGTAGCATTATTTATTATTTATTTTATGTTGCATTATTTATTATTTATTTTATCTAGCATTTAACACATATTGTTACTCCTAGTAGTAATAAGTATGTGCATTGAATGCCATACAAATACTTGTATTCTTTTTATTATATAGAGTGTAACTGATATAATATAATTCAGTTATGATAAGAGACATTTCATAAAGTACAATGTATTCGGTTGTGGAAATTGTATATAATTTATAATGATGGTTTAAGCTGTATGCATTGCATGTATAGATTAATGTGACTATATAAACTGTGGCAGAATTAATATGTAGTTGTGGTGTTTTTTAATTTTGCAGTCCATCATATGTGTATTATATTTTATTACAGGGTGATTTATTGATTGATGAACTGTACCATCTGCTATGGAATAAATGTCACGTCATGGTACACCAGCAGCTTGTCATGCCTCGTAATGACCCATCGATGCATCAGTAAAGAAATGTAGTTAAACTGACATATTATTCCTTGGTCATCATATCCACTGGCAGATGTGTCACTGATTGTTTCCGGAACAACAATTTACCTATTGATATTCAGTTTGTTCTGCCCGTGACTTTAACCACAAGGTTACCCAACTGCCCCACCCTAAATTTGAGAGAAGTAGTACAAGCCTTCAAAACAGACATACCTGTGTAAGTAACATGAAGCAAGAGTGAGTTTAGTTTAGTTTTGTGCCGCACTCAGCAATATTCCCAGCAATCCGTGAATAATCAAGTCTGGTGCAGACCATCCAATGATCAACAGCATTGATCTACATAATTGGGATACAATGACGTGTGTGAAGAAAAACAGTAAGCCTGACCACCCAATCCCGTTAGTCGCCTCTTACGACAGGCATGGGTTACTGAAGATCAATTCTAACCGAGATCTTCACGGATCAGCAGGGGTGGAAATAACCCATTGCCTGACGTCCCAGTCCAGTGGGTTATATTTCTGTCGAGCAAATAAATGTGTATATCACGCTGTACCGGTGTCCAGTCGACTTTCCAATGTTAATTATGTTATTTATTTCAAAAATGAACAAGAAAATCGGCCCGGGTAGCGGAAAAACTATCAGGGCAAGTGATTTTACATGTGCCACTGTACCGGAGTACACTATCAATTTTAAAGTTATTTCGGTGACCCCTGGTCAGAAGCCCTGGATATATACCTGAATTAAGAAGAGACTTAATAATCTTAGGTGGAATAACAGCTGTATGTAAACAAATATGGTTCAGGTGACATAGTAGTTGACGTCAATGACCATGAGATTGTGTTGTGACTATATATTATCAGCTAAGTCACCAGATGACACAATCTCACAAACAACGCCGAATAGTGAAGATCTGGGTTAGAACTTGACGCAGCCTTTGCTGATCCTAAGAGGCGACTATCAACTTGAGTGGTCAGGCTTGTGGACTTGGTTGATGCATGTTATCGAAACCAAACTGCGTAGATCAATGCTCATGTTAATCATTAGATTGTCTGGTCAAGACTTGATTCCATACAGACTGTTGTCAAACAGCTGCAATATTGCTGAGTGCAGCATTAAACAAACAAACAAACAAACAATGCATACTGAAAACCTTTTCCACTATTAGACAAAACAATGTTATTACACATTGGGGTTAAATAAACAATGTAATTACCGTTGCATTCGTTTGGCTTCAAAGTAACTATGCTATTTATAGGCTTCAAAATAATCGAAATTATTATTGATTTGAAACCTCTAAAAAAAATTGATATAAAATTTAAGCTTGACTAAAAAGAAAAATATTTTCAAAAAGTCCTAATATTCCAGCAATATCACAGCGAGGGACACCAGAAATGGGCTTCACACATTGTACCCACGTGGATAATCGAAACTGGGTCTTCGTCGTGACAATCAAACACTTTAACCACTAGACTACCCCACTGCCCGTCTTATAATAGCAGTTGTGTTAAGTACTGTATTTATATTGAGCATAGCACACACTTTTTTTTACAAAAGCTGTTTAGGGAGGGTGCACATTATATATGCCATAGATATTTGATGTTTTTATACCAATTCACAGTCATTACCAAAAAGCATGGACCACCAGAAATACCATGTCAACAAATCCAAAGTTAAATACACAATTTAATCATGTAATTTCACTTTCTGGTTATAAAAACTGTTCCTTGTATATCTAGACATTTTACAGGCACGAATAATGGTATATACACTACACTCGAGAATATACGGTATTAACTGAGCGCTATCTGTGGAGCTCTATCGACCTGGTAACTTACATTGATAACCTAATTCAACGACAACACTCAATGAAAAACAAGAATATCAGATCAGTGATTAGAGGGGCGGTGGGGTAACCTAGTGGTTAAAGCGTTGGCTCGTCACGCCGAAGACCCGGGTTCATTTCCCACATGGGTACAATGTGTGAAGCCCATTTCTGGTGTCCCCCGCCGTGATGTTGCTGGAATATTGCTAACAGCGGCATAAAACCAAACTCAGTCAGTCAGTCAGTGATTAGACACAGTAGGAATGTTAGCCATACTATTTTGCGATAGAAGGATTTTTTTCTAGTGGGACACACAGCATTCATAATCATGTTCTGATGTGCCCTTTGGTATTTAGATGTGCCAGCATCTATTGTTGAACTTTTATATGACATTTTAATATGGCTAGATGATCTGCAATTGGCATTCTTATGAAGTAATTGTTTTGCACTCATCAAAATTACAGGTATATGATGGGGGTTTGTAAATATTAGCGTCTGGTCCAGACAATCCAGTGATTGATATCATGAACATCAATCCACGCAACTTGGATATGATGACATTCATCAACCAAGTCAGCAAGTCGGACCACCCAATCCCATTAGGCCTGGATTGCTTTAAGACCAAATCTTATTTACTAATAATGAGAAAATTTCAGTTAAACAATTTCTTCATGGCTACACAACACCAAATCAGAGTCAGACAGTGCAGACAGAATCATCTGACCGTGCGATTGGTTCATTTTGACTTTTGTGTTTTTCATATTCATCCAGTAATTAAAACTGACTGTATTTTTTTAATATTTAATGCTGTCGTTTATAACTTATGCTGGATGTGACCACAGGTATTTTTAAGCGGTTGACATTTTGTGTGGAACTGGAATTGGTCTGTTTAGCTTCCTATACTCTGAAAAGGAGCTGGTGAGGCAGTCATTGTTTTATTTCTATTGCTGCTTAAAGACCAGACTACACACACATTTACATGTAATTACTGTTGATGGCTTAGGTAATTTAAAAAAAAATATATATATAATTTTACTATAGAAGTCATAGGGATAATATTTGATTTTGTATAAAATCAAACTCACTTTGTCTAATTTCATATGATCAACAATATTTTCAAGAATAATATCTACATGATAAGGAATTTGTAATTATTGTTTAACTGCCCACACATTTTCAGGAATAAATCTAATTATAGGCCTGTATATCTAGGAAATGAAATCTACCTCGCCCTCTATGAAAATAAGGTCCGTGACTTGGTTGTATCCCATTTGCGTAGATTGATGCTCATGCTGTTGATCACTGGATTGTCTGGTCCAGACTCGATTATTTAGAGACCGCTGCCATATAGCTGGAATATTGCTGAGTGTGGCGTTAAACAACAAACCGACAATAATCTATGAAATCTTTAGTAATTATCTTGTGGCACAAGACAAATACAGGTTGCAGCTCTATAATGCTTGAGTTTTGGTATTGATGATTTAGAACTTCATAACAAAAAATATTCTGTGTCTGATAAGACCATTTTATCTTACTTTATAAAGTTCCATGACATGAACTGTAAGTCACTCTTCGTGTAGTCATCAGAGTCACTGCTCTAAGTGACCGGTGAATGACCAAGTTAGAATATTGATCTTCAGTAACCCATGCTTGTCGTAAGAATCGACTAACAGGATCGGGTGGTCAGGCTCGCTGACTTAGTTGACAAATGTCAACGGTTCCCAATTGTGCTGATGGATGCTTCTGCTGTTGATCACTGGATTGTCTGGTCAAGACTCGATTATTCACAGACCGCCACCATATAGCTGGAATATTGCTGGTGCGGTGTAACATTAAACTCACTCACTGCTCTAAGCCAGTTCCTCATCATTCTATTTATCAGTTAGTCTGTGTTCTTTGAATAGCTAAATATTTATATGCACCAGATGCAAGTTGGTACAAGTATGCATTCTGCAGTTTTGGGTTGTATCAGTGCAGGTTTTAAACTGACGGATTCTGTCTGGAAACTTGCGCAACATCTGTCTACTCTACATTTCTAAAAATGAAATACCGTCAGTTAAAAACACATGAGCATAAACCATTACCATGACATATTCACAATATATTGCAGTTTATCCAGACTCGGGAATTCAATGGCCATGTTGAATGTGCATTTGGTTCAAGTCAAACTGACATTTTTCAATATTATAGAGAAATAATTTAATTAACAGTTAACTAGAGTCAACCAAGTTGATATGGATAGAAGAAACACTTTAAACTATGACTGAGAGGGGTTTCGATTGGTCATTGACAAAATTCAAATTATAACAAAAACATTTAGATATAAATTTGTGAGGAATAGTAGAATTTAATTATGGAGAAAAGATGTAAGAAAAGAACATGGTCGATTTAAGAGCTAAACAAACCTACAGTGTTTTGAAATTTGAAACTGTCAACCAAACATTAGACTAATGCTTAGTCTCTGAATATATATAATTTTGATAGTAACAAACAAGCCCATTTAAATTGAAAAGGAGCCCCAGGGAGACCAGAGATTCAGAACCTGAACCTGAGGAAATGTAGACTTGCTTTATTTAGGGCTTTAGCACTGCAGAGAGGGCTTGGCAGTAGGGAAAATAATGTGGTTCATGGACTGTGAGACAGACTAACCAAACATTAGATCCCTCTGGATTAACTTGGAACCAAGTGATTCAGCATGAATCCAATTTAAAAACAATAGATGTTTTAGATTTGTTTGGAAAAGATAACATACGATAAACAGATGTATTGTTTGAAAGTATTTAAATATGAACTATTCAACTCATTTGGGAGATAGTCATTGGCTGATCAACACCCATTAAATGCTAGGTTTTAAGTAAGGTTTTATGCCTCTTTTAGCAATATTCTAGCAATATCATGGCAGGGGACCCCAGAAATGGGTTCACCCATTGAACCCATGTGGGGACTCAAACCAGGTCTTCAGACTGATGAGCAAACACTTCAACCACTTGGCTACCCCACCACCCCTGACAGGCCGTGATACAGATATGGTTACTGCAAGTGTATCTCTATATTGGCTCCATCCCACAATAGAAAATGCCTCCTATCATTCACATGTTAAATATATATCTATATGTGTGTGTGCGTTCATGCATGAGTGGGTGTAGATATATAGACAGACATGGTTATGAGTGCGCGTATGTGTATATACTTATTTGGAATAATATGAATGTACCAAAGGCTCATATATCTTCATGATATTTGTGTAAATGTAGTCAATATGACATGACTGAGAGACATCTAGCCATCTCTATACTCTATTAATTAATATCTACACCCCATCATATAACATGCATGAATAAACTGATACATTGACAAATTTGACAGTAAAACATATCATTATATATTATGTACATTGTCCCAGAAATCTTCACACCACAACAAACTGCGTAATACTTAATAAAAGTCTCTTCCCGTATACAATGAATAAAACGACTAAATTTGGAAGTGGTGGTACGCCTCTGGGCGAATCATTAAAAACCTTTGAAAGGTACACTTACCTTCAAAATTATCTTGATCAAACTCAAATACTGTAATACTACGACGCTGTGTCTGTGGTCAACAGTCTGAAACGTGCGCCATTGAATGTGTAATAGTGCAATTGCGTTCTCATGGATCCGGTTGAGAAGCCTGTTTACTACAGTACGCACGTAGATTCCACACAAACCGACAGGTGCGTGCTCGACTGGGCTAGAACAGTTGTGTAACCATGTCAACGCATTATCTCAATGTGACAGTGAGATATCGCATGAATACTGCAGGAATAGCCTACGACTAATATGAGCTGTTCTTGCTATTTATCTACTATTCCTCGTAAATGCCACCTTCCTCATTCAAGGGCGATTTGATTCCAAGGTCACAGCCTTCAACTTTGACACTGTGGAACGGAGCGGTCAACAATGCGCATTATTCGAGACAAATCAATACAATCTACCGTAAATCCGTGAGTAGACGAGAGGGTATCTATTTTTTTAAGATAGTTATATAGTTAAAGGGCATTCATTGTCAAAATATGTTTTCCTAAAGGTCCTGTTTGAATTAATATTCAGCAACCCATGCTTATCGCAAGAAGGTTGTATCGGAGGTACAGGTTTTAAACTATTGATTCTGTCATGGAAACTTCGCATAACATCTGTCTACTCTACATTTCTAAAATGAAATACCGTCAGTTAAAAACACATGAGCATAAACCCATTACCATGACATATTCACAATATATTGCAGTTTATCCAGACTCATAAATTCCAATGGCCATGTTGAATGTGCATTTGGTTCAAAGTCAGGCAAAGCATTTTTCAATATTATAGAGAAATAATTTAATTAACAGTTAACTAGAGTCAACCAAGTTGATATTGTTAGAAGAAACACTTTAAACTATGACTGAGAGAGGGGTTTGATTGGTCATTGACAAAATTCAAATTATAACAAAACATTTAGATATAAATTTGTGAGGAATAGTAGAATTTAATTATGGAGAAAAGATGTAAGAAAAGAACATGAAGTGGGTTAAGAGCTAAACAAACCTACAGAAGTGTTTGAAATTTGAAACTATCAACCAAACATTAGACCCTAATGCTTAGTCTCTGAGATACATATAATTTTGATAGTAACAAACAAGCCCATTTTAAATTGAAAAGGAGCCCCAGGGAGACCAGGAATTCAGAACCTGAACCTGAAATCTAGACTTGCTTTATTTAGGGCTTTAGCACTGCAGAGAGGAGCTTGGCAGTAGGGAAAATAATGTGAAAGTTCATGGACTGTGAGACAGACTAACCAAACATTAGATCCTCTGTATTAACTTGGAACCAAGTGATTCAGCATGAATCAATTTAAAAAAATAGATGTGTTAGATTTGTTTGGAAAAGATAACATATGATAAAACAGATGTATTGTTTGAAAGTATTTAAATATGTACTATTCAACTCATTTGGGAGATAGTCATTGGCTGATCAACACCCATTAAATGCTAGGTTTAAGTAGGTTTTATGCCTCTTTTAGCAATATTCTAGCAATATCATGGCAGGGGACCCCAGAAATGGGTTCACCCATTGAACCCATGTGGGGAATCAAACCAGGTCTTCAGACTGATGAGCAAACACTTCAACCACTTGGCTACTACCCACCACCCCTGACAGGCATTGATACAGATCTGGGTACTGTAAGTGTATCTCTATATTGGCTCCATCCCACAATATAAAATGCCTCCTATCATTCACATGTTAAATATATATCTACATGTGTGTGTAATGGATTCAAATGCATGAGTGGGTGTAGATATATAGACAGACATGGTTATGAGTCGCATTATGTGTATATACTTATTTGGAATAATATGAATGTACCAAAGGCTCATATATCTTCATGATATTTGTGTAAATGTAGTCAATATGACATGACTGAGAGACATCTAGCCATCTCTATACTCTATTAATTAATATCTACACCCCATCATATAACATGCATGAATAAACTGATACATTGACAAATTTGACAGTAAAACATATCATTATATATTATGTACATTGTCCCAGAAATCTTCACACCACAACAAACTGCGTAATACTTAATAAAGTCTCTTCCGGTATACAATGAATAAAACGACTAAATTTGGAAGTGGTGGTACGCCTCTGGGCGAATCATTAAAAACCTTTGAAAGGTACACTTACCTTCAAAATTATCTTGATCAAACTCAAATACTGTAATACTACGACGCTGTGTCTGTGGTCAACAGTCTGAAACGTGCGCCATTGAATGTGTAATAGTGCAATTGCGTTCTCATGGATCCGGTTGAGAAGCCTGTTTAATACAGTACGCACGTAGATTCCACACAAACCGACAGGTGCGTGCTCGACTAGGCTAGAACAGTTGTGTAACCATGTCAACGCATTATCTCAATGTGACAGTGAGATATCGCATGAATACTGCAGGAATAGCTACTACGACTAATATGAGCTGTTCTTTATTTATCTACTATTCCTCAATAAATGCCACCTTCCTCATTCAAAGGGCGATTTGATTCCAAGGTCACAGCCTTCAACTTTGACACTGTGGAACGGAGCGGTCAACAATGCGCATTATTCGAGACAAATCAATACAATCTACCGTAAATCCGTGAGTAGACGAGAGGGTATCTATTTTTTTAAGATAGTTATATAGTTAAAGGGCATTCATTGTCAAAATATGTTTTCCTAAAGGTCCTGTTTGAATTAATATTCAGCAACCCATGCTTATCGCAAGAGGCAATTAATGGTACCAGGTTGTAGCGTTTGCGGACTCGTTTCAAACATGGCATCACATCAAATCGATCCTCATGATGCTAATCACATGCTTATCCCGTCCGGGGGGTGGTGGGGTAACCTATAGTGGTTACAGCGTTCGCTCGTCACGCAGAAGACCCGGGTTCGATTCCCCACATGGGCACAGTGTGTGAAGCCTATTTTGGGTGTCCCTGATTTTGCTGAAATATTGCTAAAAGCGGCGTAAAATTCAACTCACTCACCCAACTCACTGTCTCGTTCGGGCACGCGAGTGAGTAAGGTTTTATGTATCACGTGGCTCTTTATACACATTTTACTACGCTAGAACTGTATTATGAAGAAAATATAATCAGACACGCTCTTGTTTCAAACTGTAAGCTACAAGCCATTGATAATTATTTATTCCTATCGTCGGAAATTGCATTCTTAGTGTAAATAATCGAGTCTGAACCAGACAATCCAGTGATCAACAGCATGAGCATCGATTTACGCAATTGGGAACCGATGACATGTGTCAACTAAGTCACCGATCCTGACCACCCGATCCCGTTATAGTCGCCTCTTACGACAAGCATGGGCTACTTACAATATTCTAACCCGGACCTTGTTTGCATAGAGGACAAAGTAGGTTTCATTTCCTAGATATAGAGGCCTATAGTTAGAGTTTCTCCTGAAAAGTGTGTGGGCAGTTACTCAATAATTACAAATTCCTTATTATTTAGATAGTATTCTTGAAAATATTGTTGATCATATGAAATTAGACAAAGTGAGTATGAGGTTATACAAAATCAAATATTACCCGGATCTTCACGGGTTGAACCATATTAATTTCGCTTCTGCCCAGCTCTTTCTGTAACGCTAAAGCCCTAAATGAAGCAGGTCTAGATTTCCTCTGGTTCAGGAATCTCCCATCTCTCTGGGGCTCCTTTTCAATATAAACTGAATTATTTATTTCTATCAAACTTATATATATTCAGAGACTAAACGTTAGTCTAGTATCCGTAGATGATGTCCGTACAGTCACAAGACTTTCTGGTCCTGGCTTGATTCTTTACTCCCTTCATATAGCTGGAATCACAGAGCGTCACATCCAGCCCGGAGCCAGGATCAGTGCTGCCTGCATGCTGTCTTCAGTCGTGTGGGATCCGACAGTGAACACACGAGTAAGTGAGTGAGTTAAGATTTTAAGTCACACCGGCAATATTTCAGCCATAAATTCATGATAAATACATATAATTGATAAAACCCTGAGGACAGCAAAATGCAAGGTTAACACAGATTGGTCAAAACTAGATCAAAGAAAATTAAAATAATACACTAACGATTAAGGACACGAGATGAAAAAATGGTAAGTGATCGCTAGCAACGGAAGTTAGGTCACCATACTAGGGACCGCAGGGACTAACAATACTTCTGCTTTCTGCACGTTCCCTAGCTGGATTTATACCACCCCTCCAGCTGCTAGCGACTGTAAGTACTCTTAGCCATTTATCTAAAAGCTACAAATATTCCACGATTAAAAAAGTTGGAAGATATGTGTCATCCAAATTAGACAACATTATTGATTTACAGAGGCGAAAATTGCAGTTGGAGGAGGAGAAGATCAAGATTCTTAAATCCACAGAGAACTTGTCTGCCAAAACCCCGTCACCTCGAAATATATTCAAATTGCTTGAACTATAATGTACCACCTAATAAAATTTAAATCAGTAAGTTATTGACATGATTTCAGGATTTATGAAAATAATACAGAATTTTGTATTTGTCAAAAAATACATAGCTAAGAAAAAACAACAGGATTAACAAATTTCACAAAAATGGAGGTTTGCACTTTGTCTTTCTATACCCATCCTGATATTATCACACTTTGAAAATTTTAACTCTTTGTTGCTGATGTATAACTAACCAGAGAGGGCGGTGGGGTAGCCTAGTGGTTAAAGCGTTGGCTCGTCACGCCGAAGACCCAGGTTCGATTCCCCACATGGGCACAATGTGTTAAGCCCATTTCTGGTGTCCCCGCCGTGATATTGCTGGAATATTGCTAAAAGCGGCGTAAAACTAAACTCAGGCAGGACTAACCCAGAGAGTCTGTTGCTGGAGTGATGCACTCCCTGATTCTGTGTACCTATGTTTTCACACTTTGAAATTAGTAAATCTTTGTTGCTGATGTATAACTAGCTAGAACATGCCAGTAACCAAGAGAGTCTGTTGCTTGAGTGATGCACTCCCTGACTTTATGTACCTATATTTCCACATTTTGAAATTGGTAAATCTTTGTTGCTGATGTATACTTAGGTGGAACATGCCTGTAACCCGTGGAGTCTGTTGCTTGAGTGGTTCACTCCCTGACTTTATGTACCTATGTTTCCACATTTTGAAATTGGTAAATCTGTGTTGCTGATGTATAACTAGCTCGAGCATGCCTGTAACCCATGAAGTTTGCTGCTGGAGTCGTGCACTCCCTGACTTTGTATATTAGTAACTATATTTTCTTACTTTGAAAATTTGTAACTCTTTGTTGCCAAAATGTAACAAGCCCTAACATGGAGTTGTGTACTCCCTGTCTTTGTATACCTATCTGAAATGAATAAAAATAAATTAAAAAAAATTAAAAAAAGGTATTGACATGAATGTATGCAAAGAAAAAATAAATTGCATCTTTTTAATTATCTGAAAGGAATTTTACTCAGAACTGAAGCTCACACGTCTTAATAATAATGCCTTTGTATTCACTTTATGGATGCATTATTCATGTCCAATTGAGTAAAGTTCATTTTGTAATGATATTGATAAAAAATGTAGTTATTGCAAAATAAAGATATTGTTAAAGAAAAGCTTTGTCACAATTACCAGTAATCATTGGGATATAGTGAATGATGTTTGTTAGTGAACATTTTTGTCAGGTAGTATGTTAGAGATTTATGTAAATTTTTTACCACAGAGAAATTTGATCAGTGTTGATAATCTGGTGTGGTTTAAGAGTTGTCAACAGATGAATATTCTATGTTCATGTTGGGAAAAAGAGTTATGAATAAATAATTAAATTTCACTTCCTTTGTACTTTTTTGTATGTATTCGGTGCAAATGCTTTTGGACCTACCTATGAAAATCGTTTAGCAATCAGCTCTCTCTCCTTATTGAGACTCCATCTGCAAGATCCGTATCAACAGAGTAGTCTGTGGAGTTGTCTGTTTCAGACATTATCATGGGTGGATCTGGCAAATTATTGTCTTTGCAGAAATTGTGCAGTTTGAATGCTGCCATTATAACTGCATTGCACTTTTCAGGTGAGAATTGCAGGCACCCAGTGGACTTGTGAAGGCATCTGAATACAAATTAATTCTATTTGTCATAAAACATTGAAATTGTATGGATATTTTATGGATTTTGTTTGTTTGTTATTCCAATACCTAACAGTACACTTATAACATACATTTAAGTAACAAAAATACATACCGAAAAACGTGATTTCAGTACACCAAATGCCCTTTCAATGGGTGTTTCTTGTTTTGCAATGTGCAGAATTGTACTTGACTTCTGATTTGGATTCTGGATTAAGGAGTGGAGTCAAAATCCAAGGCCTGCATGGATACCTTTAATAAAGGAAATTGATAAATTAAGTTCATGATACTAAGAAATTCATTAAGGTGGACCAAATTGTCAATTTACTTTGGTAAGTTTATTCATTTCTTATTCATGCTTTGACAAGAAGAGTGTTATACTAACTATAATCTGTTTGCAGTGAAAACGTACTGATGAATTTAACTCTAAACGACAAGGTAAATCAAATAAAGTGAAATTAAGTTTAGGAATCCTCATAAAATTCCCTTGCCAATTGAACATTCAAATCTTAGAACTTATTCAACTCAGGATAAAAGTTGTTTATAAACGATCATAGTTTCAAATCGCTATTATTGGTTTGTATCACAAGGTGGTATGCACTTTAAATGAAACAACCAGAACAAGTAGGGTTGGTTTAAGTTAGGGCTTATCACGTACCGCACGTGCATTTGTTTCACTGTTCCATCTACTGCGCTTACTCCCGTGTAATAGTGACCATAGTCAACATATAAGCTTTAGGTAAGTATTTACACACTGATTTTCGTAAATAAAAATGGAGAAATTGAATAAGACTTTACCGGAATCACCCAAAAGCCAGCCATCAACATTTCCCAATTCCAGGTACTGTCCCAGTGAACTGTTGCTGAAAATCATGGAATCATGACAGGATCCTGGCCATCTGATGACAGTGTTGGTAAATCTGTTTTAATTAAAAGAAAACAAGTTTCACAGGAGTTTGTAAATGTAATATTAGATATTACAGTTTGCAGAGATATAATCAAAAGTTATCAACGTATGCTATATAAATACATACATCAATGCGAGGCGATGAATTCGTACCCAAAACGAACTCATACCCACAAATTTGAGTGGATTCGTAACCAAATTGAAGAGTGATTTCGTGGGCACTTTCTAGTCAGGGAGTATCAGCAAACTATTCTGAAAGTTATAAACTTTTATTCATTGTTTTCATTTTATTTCGTACTTGAGACATTAAATTCATACATTTGATAATTT